AATCGTAAAAACTGAGTTCTTATTAGATATATAAAAGTAAAATTAATTTTAATAGTATTAAATAAATTCATATTTTTAACTGTGAGCATTAAAATTTGTCTTAATAAATGAATAAATGTTAGTTTTTTATTTTTAGTTTTGATTTTCAATAATTATAAAACTTATAAAAATAAAAAATTATAACCATACTTAACAAGAGGCTTTTTTTTAGAGTGATGCATAAATCAATGCTCTTTAAATTAAATTATAATAGTAATAACTAATAACAAATACTATTTTTTTTTCAAAATAACTATCATTATTTTACTTTAAATTTATCTCAAATTAATTGTTATTTTTATATTTTTTAAGATAAATAAATATTTTTTCTTACTTTAATCCTATTATTATTTATTTATTTTGATTAATTATTCAATCATAAAAAATTTTATTTTATCTTTTAATTTTTTAAAAATAATATAAATAAATACATAAATTACCTTTAAATTTTTAATTTAAAAATTAAAAAAATAACAATTATTTTAAAATATAAAGAGTGATAATCTAAAAAAGATTTAAGAGTAACTTGGCAGAAACGACCAAGACTCAGATTCACAACCTCAATATTGTGGTAGGCCTAATCCTTTTCCACTATATCAAAATATCTTGTTGGCATAGATTTTTGTTTCATTGGAACAGACCTGTCATTTCTCGAAATTGATTAGGTCCGTTTGTTTCTTGTTCGGCGAGTTTTTTTTTTTTATTTATATGATATTGTTCGGCGAGTTAAAATTTCTATTAAAAGGGCATTCTCTCTTATGGTTAAGTGATGGTTACATTATTTATTAGATAATAAATAAAATATATGTTAATTATAAATTTAATTCTTTTAAAAAATAAATATTAAGTAACTTAATTTAAAATTTTTTACTGTTAAAAAAAATTCTATTCCAAGAGAATAAAGGGACATGATAATGCCGTCGACAAATTTGTTGAGGCACCGAATTTTTAAATTTTGTTCGTTA